TGTGTGTGTGTGTGTGTGTGTGTGTGTGTGTGTGTGTGTGTGTGTCTCAGTGTACACAGATATAACCCTGGGTGCCCAAGGGCTCCACTGATGACTACCTGCTTTATACCAGCTTGTAGTTATCAGTCTGTAAATGGACCCATACTTCTAAGTATTAAATAAAGTATTATATCCTTAAGGGCAGTGGGGGCCAATATCATATATTTGTATGAGTGTGTATGCAGGTGTTGCCAGCCTGTTGACCTGTGCATTGGCTCTTCCTCTCCACTCCATCCTGTCAGATACCCCATTAATGCAAAGTATTTTTTGTTTTTACTGGACCTTGTCGTTCCGTCATACAGAGAGCGTCTCTGACTAAGTCTCATGTTTTACTACAGAGTTTCACTGTCACACGTGCAAGGCTGTTGGTCTTTAGTCATCATGGGCTGAGAGGAAAACCAGCTCTGAAAACATTTCAGTACCATGGTGCTCACTTTGTAATGTGTCCTGTCAGTGAAAATGACCTAAAGTCAGATCTTTCCTGTCTGATGCTTCACTGACTGTGCTGGTTGGCCATAGCTGCTGGTCTGCATTAGTTCACTCAAACGATCTACAGCATGGTGGCTCCCAAACCTATTTTCTTGTGCATGTAACCAAGCCCACATCAGATCTGAGAGCTTAAAAACTATATATCCACTTACATTTGCTCATTTTACATAAACCTGTAATGAACAAAAGTGCAGGATGCAAGATAGCCTAGAGCAGGGGTGGCCGATTCCAATCCTCGAGGGCCGCTGTCCTGCTTGTTTTCCAGCTATCCCTGCCTGACCTGCTGATTACCTGGCTCAGGTGTGTTCAGCCAGTCAGAAGCTGGAAGATACCATCTTAGATGAAAGTGGAGTGAGGAAAGATAAAGTGAATTGGTATCTTCCATTTGACAGTTGTAATATCATGGCGACAGTTTCACATCATCTTTAGCTTTCACTGTCCTGCATACGTAAGTGGTGATTTTTTTTGCACACAGTAATGTTTGCAAAAACTGAAGGGGTCTGACCACTTTATTAAGTGACTCACCAACTGATAAATTTAGGTCTGGCCAAAGCTTTTCAGTTTCATGCATGGCCTTGTTATTGAGGCAATAGCTACACATCTGCCTCAGAGACAAACTAGCAGATGCCCAGTTTATGGTGTGCTCATATGGATGGGTTTCTTCTTTGGGGGGGAAGATACAGTATATGGGTGTGGTGTGCTTTAGCTGTAAAGTGCTGTATAGATCATCCTTGAATCATTTCAGTTTCTTTTTAGCTATAACACTGCCTGTCTCACAGAGGCAGACACCAACAGCTCCCAAACTGGGTGTTAAGCAGTTCCTAAGAGGATCCCACGGGGTCCCAATCCCATGCTTAAAGTGAAGCACGTGGAGAAGGCAGTGTGCAGGCTATTACTGACACAACTACCCGGGGATAATAAAGGACCTATAGTTCATTGATAATGATAATAATAATTAATTCCAAACACTGTACACCTGTACCTGTAGAAATAATGGGAATAGATATGTGCATTATGGCAGTTGCAGATTGAAAATACCTTCTGACAACCAAAAGTTGTTTTTTCTTAACGCAAGTTAATTTCAGACAGTTTTAGCAGGTCCCACTGCTGTTAGTAGAGGCACATGTAGTAACTGTAGCCTATAGAGCTACATGACTAACCAAATAATGAAATACCCTCTCAGGGAAAAGACAGGCCAAATGCTAACTATGGAAAAGGTGGATGTAAGACAGGTTTCTGATACGGTTTAAAAATCAACCAACCAATCAGTAGCGCTACAGAACAAGTTGAACATGTTTGTCTACCAGAGTTAAAAGGGGAGGATGGCGACACCTTGTGGTGAATTGGATAAAATACAGCCAGACTTGATTACCCGCAGCCGGCTCCCGTGGTTTTCTTGCTTGTGATTGTTGGAACCTCCTTACAATACAGCATGTAACCTACTTTATGTAGCTGCTCCACCTGACAGGTAAAGGTTTCCACGTTGATATCACACAGAACTTTACAGAACTTTGTACGTGTGTATAATAACATTTATTTTAGTCATAGCTATCGACCACAGTCTGTACTTACTATTTAACATTTGAGTAATGCCACAGTTTGATATACAAGACATTTTTTATATTTCACATTTAGTTGTGAAGTTGCTCCCAAATTTGGACTCAAGCTATTTCCTGCTTTTAAATCTAAAGTAACATTCAGACCCAAGGTCAAATACAAGCAACACTGAAAACGATACATGTTGTCAGTTTATAAGTAGAACATCTTTTTCATTGCATCCTACAGTAAATGCTGCTGTATGACATTATACATCCAGAGAAAGAGGCATGTTATACTCCTGCACATAGGCCTACCATGGAGTCTATCAGTCTGTGAGGATACATCACAGGTTTAAGCTACAGTTTGGACTCTGCTGCTCAATCTCCTTGAATCTCTTCTTTAGTTTGTCTGCCATGGAGTGTAGGTCTGAAGATTTCAGCATATTTGGCAGTTGTCTCAGGTCCTTTTCTGGAGCCTGAGCCAGCCACACATTGATTTTCTCTAGAAGAGGACCTCTCTGTCTGGGGACCGACTTCTGAATGTACCTGTGGAATTGAGATGATGTTATTTAGCATCTCTGTGTTAAGTGAATTGCCAGCTGGGGGGAGCAAAAAGGCTGGAAGAAGGAGGAGAAGAGAACGAGGAAAAGAGACTTTTAAAACGATTTATAGAAGGAATCACAGTGTAGGCTCACCTAGTAACCAGTTTCTTCATTTTTACCACACGCATCCTGTGCATGTTAAAGAATCCCCAGAGGAATGTCCTGAGTGCCTCACCTAAGAAAGAAAATTGGAGCACCTTAGTCTGAAATTCAAACGTTGCTGTTTTTCGTCTTAACAAAAACTGATTATATTGTCCAGTGGACTTCACATTTTTTCCTAAATGTTATAATTTATATTGGGCGGTCAAAATAAACTGTGCAAAGTACACACCTCCATTTGCAATGTCCTCGCAGAAGCCACACATTGTGTCACTGTAGACTGATCCAGGGAGGAGCACGATCTGCCCATATGCGCACTCCTGGTGTTTTACGCACGTTTCCAGCGCAGAGGATGAGCTGGAGAAATAGCCATTGGAACACTTTTCACAAACCGTGTTCGTTTGCGACGTACCTAAAATAAGATAACAATGAATTAGGGACCATCAGAATGTTTTACCTCCCAGCTGTGTCTCCAGAGAGCCCAGGTGATGGTGCGTATTTCAGCAGTTACCAAGCACTTCGTGGAAACTGTTTCGGGCAATTACTACTATAAAATATTGACTGACCCATGCACTGTTTATTGCATTATTGGATTTCCTTTGTTTCTGAAGACCTATAACATCGATGTTTTTATTCTGCGCCATAGGATGCATATGCACAGCGAAAATGTGGACTATTTAACCAGTCATACTAAATAAAAATATAGGAATACAGATAGATACAATATACACAGATACTTTTGAGTGAGCAAAAACTGGTGTATATTATTTTTTTATATTTCAGCTACAACAAAATTTCTAAAACTCTGATAGGCTACCTCTCCTTTTAACACCGTGTCCCGGCCCACACTCGGTGTGTCTTATACAAAAGTCGTTGGTCCAGTAAAAGCCCTCTTTGCATCGACAGACCCTGTTGCTGACGGATGAGCACTCCGTCTCCACCTCCTGGTTCTCATTGCAGAGGATGTTGCAGTACAGACACCTGGGCAAGTAGTTCCACAGCTCGGTGAAGTGGTCACTTCTGCACGGTACGCACTGGGTGGGCGTGGTTGCGGTGCAGTGCGCAGCCTTGTGCGTGCCTGGTGGACACTGGTCACAGGTGAGAATTTCCCTGGTGATCCGGTCTCGGTACTCATAGGTAGGAACGGATTCTACCACAGAGGCACCGCAAAGGACACCGGGGAACAGGAACAGGGCCAGTAAGAAGAGCTGAGGACATGACCATAGTTACTGTTACTGCAGCATTGAGTACTACTACTACAATTAGTACTACTATACTACTACCAGTACTATAGGTTACTATTCTACCTCACTATACCACATGCAAATCTATATAGCCTATTAGACAGAGATGTAACAAAACAACTCTGTGTCATTGATATCACTGAGATACAAATTCCCGGAAGTAGTATTCAACTCAATGATCATACTAGCATTAGCACACTGAGCATTTTGTAGTAACTTTCATATTATTTTCTAATCATCTCCCCATCCTCATCAGTAGCAGTTTAACACATATTTGGGTCAGTGTTACTGTAGCCACCCCGTCACTGTGTTTTTTCGCCTTTCACAATTTTTTGGATGAGCAATGTCGCAGCAGTGTAATGCAAATAAGGAAATTTGTGTTTTTCTAAATTCAGAAATTCCCTAGCTCTTCATCACTGTAAATGATAATTGCACAACATGCAGCAGACAACATTTGTCTTAATCGATGGACTTGGACTATTTACAGCTTCCAGATATTTTTTCACACAAACATTTACCTCCCACAGTGACTGCTCAGGCTCCACCAGAGACCTAGATGCTTCTGTTTCATTTGCAGCAAAAAGCTGACTCTAATCTCTAAATCTCGAGACTTTCCCTATTAAAAACGAACCTGTTATATCTGTGTACTCTTAAAAAATATAGACAGTGCTGGCATCTGTTGTAAGACAAATATAGGCTACATAATGACAACTGATTCACATTTCTGATCAGTGTGATTAGGTTTTAGCCCATGTCCTAAAAGATCAATTTCTATAAATTCCCCAGATTATTCAGCTATTTTTTTTTTATTCTCTAAGTATCCTATGCTGGCTAAAGCTTGATCTCTTGGGAAATTACATTAAAAATTACAATTAAAATAGTGTTCAAAGTCTAGACTGCATCTCTATTTAATGATAATTTGCCTAATTTCCTTCTCAATTCTTCTTATCTTTGTTTAAAATCATCTAAAGCCTGTTTATCATCATCTCTCTCTGTCTTTGCTCGTATCATCTTAAACTCATCTAATATTTTAATACAGAACACTCACCATTCTGATGATATGCGTGCTCTCACGTCTGCCAAAGTGTGTCAGTTCACTTTATAGTGTTCACAAAGGAACCGATTTTTGTGTGGGTGGACAGTTTGTCAAACCTCTGTTTAAAAGGTCAAAACAACTTCCAACTTGTATTAGTCAGAAACAGAATATCAGACTTAACTGCTAAATGGTGTAAAGCTTTTAGGAAGTATCAGGACAAGGTGTGTGTGTCATTTGATGCAATGTGTAACACCCTGTCTGTAAGAAGAAATTGATATTTCCACTCCACCCAAACAGTTCTCAAATGTCCTGGTGGCCTAAGGGTGGTGTATCTCTCATCAGGACCTTTCTCTCTTTCCTGATATTTTCTTTCTCACTTTACTAAGTACTGTCAAGTAAAGGAAAAATGTTTCTACAAATGATTTCTATAAAGCGGTGTGGTGGTGTGGCCTGTATAAAAATAATTTTGTGGAACAGTGAATCAGTGAGACCCAAACATAATCAGCAGAATATGTATGTGATTATTCTGTTTACACACCTCTTTATGAGTTTTCCTTTCGTAAAACAGATTGTTTCCCCATGCCTACATTAAGTTCTATAAATGTAAAGCTTGTGCAGCTTAAAAATGTATAATTTAGTTCTTGTAATTTAGCTACATAAAATTTACATTACTGTATAGAAACCTTCCATCTCATAATAGAGCTCATGACTGAGAGGTATTGAGACAGTTTAAAGAAATATCTGTTTTTGCACAACAGTGACGTCAATGGCTTGAAACAAAAAAAGTCTCACTCTAAAATTTCCATCTAACCACTTTTCACTGTTTTTACATGGGCAGTGCTACGATGACTGATATTGGAGAAAAACCCCGAATTGATGATTTCCCCCCTGTTGAAACAGTATAAGATATGCAGCAATATGACTATATGTCACATTTTTCTTTTGAAAAAAGAATGAGTCACTGAATGAAATGAACAATATGACAATGTGTCAAGTAAATTGAAATGAATAGATGAATGCTATGACTCAAACGAGTATCTGTCACTCATTTCCTCCTGTTTCAGAAGTATTTTCTTTTCAAAAAGTAGGCTAAAGCTCTCAAATGCATCAGTGCTAAATTTCTTCTTAACAGAAAGCAGCTGTACAAGAACAGAACAGAATACAAAGTAAAATCAACAAAATTATTATTTAAATTAAGAAACATCTACTATATACTTATACGCTATTAGGAAGCACCCTTAAGAACAGAACTAAGCATCTGCAAATGGTATTGACGGATTTGGATATTTGGTGGTAGAAATACTTGCCTTTCGTACATCTTTACCATGCCAGATGAAAAATATATGTTTACAAAATGATTTTAATCAGATCATTTGACATCAGGATTCACAACTTACACAAACCTAAAGAGGACAAGTCCAGCATATATACAACAAAGATCATACATTTAATAATATAAAAGCAATAAAACAAAATATAAAACAAATATCACTTGCAGCATTCAGAATCCAGTATTTCTGATAAAGTAATAAAAACAAGCCTTTACATATTCAGAAATTATTTTTTAAATAGAAAACAATTGCACTCCTTTGTACATTCATAAACTGACAAGTTTTTTTTTTATCAAGAGTTTTACTTGTCAGCAGTCTAGAACAAACTAACAAACAAAGGAAAACTATAGAAAATACATATATTTCATTATGAAACCAAATCCTTCCTCTCAAACAGAGAGAAAGCAATAATAATAAAAACATAGCCATAGCTAGCCCATCTTCCATAAAATAGTGTTATATTTACATCTTAAATAGTTTTTATTTTTTCACAGACTCTGGTCAAAAGGTTTCCAGGAAACATTTTTTATTATACTGCATGGAGTACAAAGAGCTCTTAAAACCTTTTTACTGGTTAAACACGCAAGAAACGTGACGTAAGCTCGGTTCCATTCAATCCACGCGAGACGTGAGCTGCGCGTTGTTTACAGTAAAGTCGTGAGAGCAGCTATGTCAGCAGGATAGCGGCGAGACAGAGGGACTTTACCAAGCTGACCAACAAGACAAGGGTACTGGACAAAAATTGTTCTCATGTAAGATAATCAGGCAGAAATCGCGTTTTTACGTAGCCGATAGATGAATTGATTTTATTGATTTTTTTCCCCGACTTGTTACAGATAGAGAAAGTGAAAGTGAAACTCAAGCAGCCTGGTCAGTCGTAACAGAAAACAACAGGATTTGTGTGATTTAAAGAGCTGACTGTGGCGATTATGCTTCAGTAAACGTGGTAGAGGGAAAACAGACATTACGCGTAAAAAACGCGCGTCTCACGGATCCAGAGTGGATTGACCCATTTGTTATAGTGGAATTCTCTCTGCAGCCTGAGATGGGCATAGAAAACGCTTCCAATGTGTTTGACCAGTAGGGCTTATTAGATTCGTAACTGCCAAAACAGATGCTGTACACCCAGAGTGATGTTTTTAGCATTCCTTACCTCTTTTAATCAAAACCTTACTTTGGCAAAGGGTTTTGATAAGACAATCAGAGATGGAAAGAATAATTTGCCTCCCCATCTTGCCTTTTTCACAAAGTACCTCTAGGCAATATGTGCATAGCTTGATATCACTTAGAGATATCTTAAAGACCTGACATTATCACGTGACCCTTGTCTGTTACTCTTTTACTAGTACATATATTTATCCTCCTGTTTACTGTGTGTGCTTTTGGGTTTATTATTTGAACATGCATTGGTGTCATTTTATGCTTTAGACTGCATGTGTTCCTATTTGTATTTCCCATTTTCCTATTAATTTAAGGGCTTATGAGCCTTAAAACATGACTCATCCTGAAGCATAGTGAAAAACATTTTCTCATACAGCTTGTGTGCGGAGCTGGTTTCTATGATGCGACTGATTTTCTTCAGGCCTTTCAGCAGATTGTGCGGTGCCCCCTGGCTGCGCAGCACCCTCAGACTGTGAGATAGACCTTTGACTAGATCCAGGTCATAGTTTGCTGTCTTCCAAAGGTGAAGCAGCTGCAGAATGTACTGTCTGGGCCGGCAGGTAGAGACCACAGTTTGGACATCCTCTTGCCGAACTTTGACCCCTGGTAGGCTATTGGCAACCTTAAGAAGGTCATCTAGTGTCAGGTTCTTCAGACTGCTGCATCGTGAGACCTTTCTCTCACAGTGGGCCACACCTGGTGGGACAGAATGCTAACATTAGTACACAAAAAGCAGTTCTTGAATAAGAAGTGGCTCAATCTAAAAAGTGCAGACTTTGTTCAGACCTGTCGAGGTTTGTGTATAATTTTGGACCCAAATACAGAACCAAAGCAACAGAGATGTAATGAGATAACGGGGCTTTATTAGTGGCTAAGAAAACTGTGGCTAACACTGAAAAGTTGCACTTGGGGCTTCTTTGTGTGGGAATCTGGCCGTTAGCAGGTGAAGTGAGTGGAAAAGGTCAAGGTAACCTTCCCATCAGATGGCCAGAGAATTGCACAACAGGAGAGCCATGATTTCCAGAGGGTAATCCTGGTAATCTTAGATCCCATGAGAAAGCAGGAGCTGCTCAGGCAGGCAGCCATGGAACCAGATGTGAGACCAGATGTGAAACAGGCTTCACTCAAGGAGGAAGCCTTAGAACCAGATGTGAAACAGATGCTTCTCAGGAGGGAGGCCATGGAAACAGGAGTGAAACAGGCACCGTTCTAGTGGGTAGCTGTGGACCCAGATGTAAAATGAGCATGGCTCAAGAAGGTGTGGAGCCAGGCATGAAGCTGACGCCACTCCAGAGGGCAGCTACACTGAGGCTGAACTGAAATAGAAGACTACTCAGTAGGGCCACCATGGAACCAGGAAGACAGCTGGGACCACTCAGATAAATGGTGACATGGAGGCTGGCATCAAAGGTGGAAATCTCCTGGAGGACAGGCAGGAGGCTGGTGGTAAAAACGGTGCTGATCAGGAAGCAGGGAGTGCAGGACAAGCAGATGACTGTAGAACATGGTCGACAGACTGATGACCAGGCAGAATGTTGGATGAGTTCTAGTGGGTAGCTGTGGACCCAGATGTAAAATGAGCATGGCTCAAGAAGGTGTGGAGCCAGGCATGAAGCTGACGCCACTCCAGAGGGCAGCTACACTGAGGCTGAACTGAAATAGAAGACTACTCAGTAGGGCCACCATGGAACCAGGAAGACAGCTGGGACCACTCAGATAAATGGTGACATGGAGGCTGGCATCAAAGGTGGAAATCTCCTGGAGGACAGGCAGGAGGCTGGTGGTAAAAACGGTGCTGATCAGGAAGCAGGGAGTGCAGGACAAGCAGATGACTATAGAACATGGTCGACTGACTAATGACCAGGCAGAATGTTGGATGGGGAGGTCCATTCTGGAGCAGGCGGCATCTCTTCACTGAGGCAGACTCAGGGGAACGACTGGGAGTTAGCAGGGCCATGGTGAACAAATGGAGAAGCAGCTGAGGTTTCAGGTATGACAACTGACAGGGGCTTGAGTGTGCTGGGTGTCTGGACCTTCATCTTGGGTGAGCCAGTCAGCTGGGCCTGAGGCTTGAGTGAGTTGCTGTAGGCCTGAGGCTTGGGCATGCTTCATGGTTGAGTGTAGGACTTGGGGGTGATCCTTGGCTTGGATTGAAGCTCTGATGCGTGACTGGAGTTTGGTTGCACTGTGTGGTTTGATGGAGGGCTTGAATGCACCGGCCATTAGGGAGTGGACCTTGGGTGCTAATAATCTGGAAGTGGAATTCCAGCACACTGGGTGATTTCAAAGTGTGAAAAATTGGGGGGTGATGTTTTTTTAGGAGCCCCCCTAACCATCTCCTAACTTCAGTGATGCGAGACCCCTCAATAAGGGGAGAGCTGGGTGTTAGCGACTTTCAGGTCAGTGACAGGATGGAGGCTGGCTGACACAGGTAGTGAGCAAGGCCTAGCAAGACAAGAGACTTGAGAATAGCCAACAGGCCCATTGCTAACTTCACGGGGAGTGGACAGAGTGACTGAATTTTCCAGAGGGAGGTCGTGTCTGCCACCAAATGCAGAACACCAGGAATGTCCATTACCCAAGGGTGATAAAGAAAAATTCTCTCTATACAGGAGCAGCAGCAGACCTTCACTGGGTCTGTAGTATTCTTGATGATTATATTTAAAGCTTGGAGAACATTACTAATTACAAGCCTCACTCTTGCACTGGTTGCTGGGTTCATTTTGGCCAAATTGTTCTGTCAAGGTTTATGTGTAATTTTGAACACAAACCAAGGTAAAAAAAAAAAAAGGTGTGACGAGGGACAAGTGGGCTTTATTAGTGCCAAAGATTATGATGACTAAATAGGTGAACTCTTTGGCAGAAGCAGAGGCAAAGCAAACTAGAACTTGGCAGAACAGAAAGAGAGCACGGACAAGCGATATCAGGTGTATAACTGTAGATATGTTGTAAAACAAAAACCCAGACAATTCCCTTAAAGGTAACAAGCTAGATGACAAAGCTAAACCGCTCTCTATCAAGTCTATAAACAGCCTTCAGGCAAAAATACAAAATTCTAAAATCTACAAAAGCTATACACTTCAAGGTAATTAGATAAAAACACTTTCTCAATACAGGCAGTTAATTTAGCATAATAAAAGCCAGGAAGTTCAGGGAATCATGACAGGACCTTGTATGATGCCATTCAGCTTGTCCTGGTCCTTGTTCTGCTGCCTCCAGAGTCTCAGCAGCTGGAGGACCTGCTGCTGAGGAGAGCAGGCCTTCTTCAGTCTCTCCATGCTCTTACGATCCACCTTCCGCCCTGGAAGACTCTCCAACAGCCGCTCCAAGGGCAGCAAGGCTAGAGATGGGAGGACTGCCTCCTCACAAAAGGTTTTATCTAGGATCAAGAGTAAGAAAAAGACAGGAAGAATGGCTTAAATTAGACTTTTAATAACATTATCACAGCATACAATGAAAATATGATAATATAGATCAATACTGATTTTCCATGAAAAAAGTTTAGACAAACTGATGCAGGTGCTGGACACCAGACAACTTAAGAAACAGGGAGAGACTAGACAGCACTAAGATAACTCACTGTCTTGATAAAGCCATTACACCTAAAAGGATTAGTTCCATGATAGTTGACCCTCATAATATGATTCCTTGTCCATGAAAACCTACCCCTAGCATTTGGAATCACATTGATATCATTATTAGTTTGAAACTTATTCAAGTATATCCATACTTTGCTAATGGGGATTTCCTTCAGGATCTAGCTCAGCAAAATACATTCGTTACTTTTTGAGTTATGCTGTGACCAACTAACACACAAATGCCAGTAAAACATTACGTCCGCCTTGGCCTTCCCTTTCATACGAAGACTTGAATTACAAAGAAAAAAAAGCCTTGATCATTTTTGCACACTAAGTGGTTTGGCTGCAAAACCCTTAGTATGAGTTCTTGTTTCTGTTTCCAACCGGTGATGCAGAACCACTACTGACATTAGTATGATTAAATTCTGTGCTGTTTTTTTTTTTTTTTTTGCTGAGTGGTACCGCACCACTTGTACACCAGCAGTATTTCATTCATTCATACATACATCTTCTATACCGCTCAGTCCCAAAC